AAGCGAGAGGCTGGGTCCTACCCTCAGGGAGTTGGAATCTGCAAATGCGTCAGGACAAAGGAACCTTGAGACAATCCAGTCCAGTGTTTTAGAGACTCCTGGTTCAGCATTCTCTCCTTCACTGTGCAAGGATGATGGTATTATCAATGGCGGGACCCACTGGACTTTAGAATCTGACTGGGTGTGACTCCAAAAGTGCAGAGAAAGCCGGCCATTGTTCCAGGCACTGTGTGCACGTTGTTCTGGGGACCACGTGCACAGAGCTGAGTGAGACCGTTTGCTCATGGGGGTTTCGGTCTAGAAGGACAACAGATGTGGAAGTCAATAATTACGGGGTAAGGGGGCAAACATGCTCGTGGTCACTCACTCGTTCACCCAGCAACGGCTGTCTGCCGTGCTCCAAGCACCGTGCCGTGTTTGGGATTCCACGTGTCAGGACAGATAACGGCCCTTGTGCCCATCCATGGACCTTATGGTCTAGCGGGCCGCATAGAGTACGAGCAAATCACAACACAATATACCTTTGATTTGCACTTGTGATAAAGGCTATGATCAAAGTACGAGAAGCCATGGGAGTATAATACAGAACTTAGGCACTTGGATAATTCCCCAAAACAGGCTTCCCTAGGACGCCTTGTCTGCCCTCTCCTCCTTCTGTGCTCACACTCCCCTACTCCGCGCTCCGACCCTTGACCTCTCAGATTCCAAGGGTCCTGCCTGCTGTGATGGCTGGAAGCCACTGCACGGCCAAGCAGGCCCTGAGTGCATCTGCCCACGTGTGGCTTCCACATCTGGGGCATCAGAATAAGACAGCGGTCAGTGCGAGGAAAGAGGCTCTGGGCTGGGAACTGAAAGCCGGACACCGGTCCTTGATCCAGCTCTGTTATGAGACACAGCTTGCTCCCTCCTCCTCCAGCATCATCACCCCTGCTCCCAGGCCCCTCCCTCGGCTCTCCCCCACCAACATCCTCTATGTGTCACCAGGAAGCATGGGCCAAAGCCTCTGGAGCCAGAGTGCTTGGGTTCAGAACCCACCCACTTGCCTCTGTGTCTCATGTCCCTCCTCTATGCAGGGAGGATACTGTCAGTGCCCAATACTCGGCGTGGTAGTGAGGATTCAGAGAGCCTCACGCATAGCACAAGCCATGGACGTGCAAGCTATTCCTACTATTGGTTTGGGGTTAATTTCATGTGTCAGCTTGACTGGCCCAGGGGACCTTATTTCTGGGTGTGTCTGCGAGGGCGGTTGGGGACGAGATTAGCATTTGAACTGGGGGACCCAGTGGGGCAGATGGCCCTCCCCCCCCCCCCCCCCGGCGTGGGTGGGCCTCACCTAACCCGTTGAGGGACCGGGTAGCCCAGAAAGGCAGAGGCGGGTTGAATGCAGTCTCCGCCTGACTGCGGAGCCGGGACATCAGTCTTCTCCCGCCCTCAGCGTTCGTGGCCTGAAGGGCTTCCACTCGGACTGGGATCCACACCAGCAGCCCTCTGGTCTAGGCCTTGCTGGGCTCCAGCTTCCCGACGGCACATCATGGGAAGTCCCATCGTCAGCCTCCATGATCATGTGAGCCAACTGCTTATAATAAGTCTATTTATCTCCATGTACTATCTATCTATCTATCTATCTATCTATCTATCTATATCTGTCTATCTATCATCTATCAGTCAATTATCTATCTATCCACCCATCACCGCCCTCTCTCTCTCTCTTTCCCCCTTTCCCCCCCCCCCCCCCCCCCTTCATCTACCTCTCTCTCCTATTGATCCGATTTCTCTGGAGAATTCTAATACACATCCTTTCCCTTCCAAATCAACATGACTTTGAAGGTAGCACACAGTGACTCATGGCTTATTAGCCGCAGCATTTTCTGGTCACACCAGGGGCCTCACGCTTGAGCCGGCAGCAGAATCAGCAGTGTTTGCTGAACCCCGGTTGCTGACCCCATCCGGCATGTCTGCTTCTGTGGGTCCCGGGCAGGGCCTGGCGATACCGATGGTCAGGGGACCCACTCGCGGACCCCCGGCCTACGCTAACGGCTCAGGCTCTGCACACATTGATAAGCGGATGTGCATTTGAGCAGCGACGGTGTGCCCTCCACGGCGTGAGGAGCGCTCCCTTAGTTCATTCTGTTTTCATTGCCGCTCAGCAGAGCTGGCCTCACGCCTCCCATTTTTTGAAGACGAAGTCACCGATGCTCAGACAAGGCCCGTGACCTGTTCACGTGACTTGTAAGTGACTGAACTGAGGTCTCGAACTCTGACCTCTGGGTGTCAGTTTCAGTGCCCTGCTTTGTCCGTTTGGGGATAGAAACCGGACCAGGAAGAACCCAGAGGGGAGGAAGCTACTGCCAGGGAAGGGGTAGCTCACAGACGGATAACGGTCTTGGGGGTGTGATGTTTACTGTGGAGACTGTAGGAATGCCCCCCAACTGAGAGGTCCAGAGGGGACTCACCTGTGGAGAGTAGAGGCAGGACAGACCCTCAGTCACAGATCTTCCCTGCTGGCTCTCGAGGGACCCGGGAGGGACCCAGATCTCAGGCCTTGCCAGCTCACTGGAGCTCAGGAGTGCCCCCCCCCAACTGCCCCATGTCCTGAGACCCCCAGCTGAGCTGATGGAGGCAGACACTCTCGGCCAAGCCTGCCCTTCCTTCCAGCGCCCAGAAAACAGGCATCATCCACTAATAGGAGAGTGCGCCGATGTGAAGGAAATGCTCAGCCATTAGGGCCTTGACGCTGTGCTGCAATTTTGACCTTCAGAACGCAGATGCCTGCCCGGTGGGCCCCCACCGGCTGCCACTTTGCCGGCCTCTCAGCCCCGAGAGGCTGCAGGAGCCAGGCCTGGGAGAGGGTGGGGGGTGCGTGGAGCACTGGCAGACCCCAACATTACCACCCATTCTCAATCCTCCCTGCAGGGTTGTGAGACTGTCCCCAGCCCTGATCCGGCAGGGCTCCCGGATGCTGATCTGCGCATGTTCTGCGTGCAGGGGCCTGAGGTTCCTGCTTTCCTCCAGCCCCCTTTCTCGGCCAGGTGGAGGTGGGACGGTGTGACGGCTGACATTGGAGAAAAGGGCTGTCTTCTCTCCTACCCTTGGGACTTGTGACCCGTCCCCCGCCCCCTCCCCCCCAGCACAGCACAGCAGGGCTGATAGAGCGGGAGGAGGGACGGCGAGGCTCTAAGTCTAAGGGATTTCAATGCCCATGGGGCAAGACACTCATCCGTTCCCTGGGGATTTGCTGAAAGCGCAGATTCTGCTTCATCAGGCCAGGCGTGGGGCTTGGGTCCAGCAGTTTTTAATGTTTATTTATTTTTGAGACAGAGAGAGACAGAGCATGAACGGGGGAGGGTCAGAAAGAGGGAGACACAGAATCCGAAGCAGGCTCCAGGCTCTGAGCTGTCAGCACAGAGCCCGACGCGGGGCTCGAACTCACGGACCGCGAGATCGTGACCTGAGCCGAAGTCGGACGCTTCACCGACTGAGCCACCCAGGCGCCCCTAGGGTCCAGCATTTTTAACAAATTCCCAGCGATGCTGAGGTCCTGGGTGGAACTTAGGCAATAAGGCTGTAGGGCAGTGATGCTCAGACCCGGCCCAGGCTGGGATCAGCTGAGCACTTTCACCAACCATCCTGCTGTCTGGTCCCGCTCCCATGGTTTCGAGTTTATCTGGTCCAGCCTTGGACATCAGGTGGTTCTAACACGCAGCCCCATCCTCGTTTCCGGCCTGACATATTGGCCATGAGGACGGGGTCTTTTCTGCGATGTGAGGAGAGAAGGGATTTGAGGAAAAAGGACTTTTGCCTGATGAAAAAGCATCATCACATCCCTTGTTAGTCGAGCTTTCTTCCTTGGCAGAGGAGACGGAGAGGAAGAGCAAAACTTTCATTCCACAGAAGGGCATCTGCCAGTTTCCCACTCGGAGACGCGATTGAAATAGCTTTTTCAGATCCTCCGGCTAAGCTGACACGTGTGGCCCCCTCCACCCCTCCCTTCGGTCCCCCCCCCCATAGCAGTTATCTCAATTCCGGTTCCAACAGCAAGGCTCTATCTCACCACCGCTGCCGGCAGCCGGCTGGCTTCCCGATGGAGAGGGGCTTGGGCCCCAGAGAGAGCCCTGGTGGAAAGAGCACCAGCAAAGGAGGCGGGCCGGGGCCTGTGCGGACGCAGCGGGGGCCTGGGGCCGAGGCCCAGAGTGATCGGAAGATGACACAGCTAAAAGAGTATCGCTTAAAGGTGTGGAAGGGAATGTCACTTCTGGGCCGGCACCGCTTCTCGGGCTGGGAACGAGATAATGAATTATTACCCGGGGAAATGAAGCTGCTAATAAATTCAAAAGCAAAGCTGAGGGAGGTTAGGCTCCATTTTTAAAAGGGGGCTGGTGATTTATAAAGTGCCCTGTCTCCTTGCCTCCCGGGGCTCCGTCGGCCTCCCTGCCCCTCCTTTGCCCCAGCTGACCCTCTGGACACACAGCCCAGCACCCCTGCAACTTGTCTGTTTTCTTTGTGAGCCACGCCCACCCCCTCGGGAACCTCAGGCCCACACTGGGCTGAAATTTGGCCCAACTGATTTTGAGAGCTCAGTCCCTAAGGAATGGCCACGAGGAAATCTGTCTTCCTAAGAAGTCCATTCCGACCTTTGAGCCAACAGATTACAAGGAGAAACCGCTCCGAATGAGCAATCAGGCTCTGCAGCGGGGCACCAGGCAGGGGGCGGCTCCTGCAGGGAGGGACAATCAACTTAGCTTTTCGGTGGCATCTGTGCCTTCTGAAAGCTGCTCCTGTTTTGGGAAGCTTGTGGCCACATTCTAGTCTTACCCTACCCCCCCCCCCCCCCCGTCCACCCCCTGCATCAATTCCAATCCCTCTTGAGTGGAGCTCCAAACCCTGACTCCTTGGTCTCCACTAGCCTCCTTCCCTGCCTGAAGCCATCAAGCCCCTACTGCCTGAGCTCTTTGCCCGTTTCCGCGGCGATGGGCCTGTGATGTCACTATGGAGGCCTGCGAGCCTCCAGGTGGGTAGGACTGGAGCAGCAGGTGCCCAGGAAGAGGGAAAGAACAAAGCTCCAGTTTCTGCGCCACCATCCCCACATAATGGAAGAGGGGCCTGGAAACAGAGGAGGGGCAGGTGGAAGGCTGCAGCCGTCCCGAACCTTGCCCGTTTTAACATCTCTTGAGCTCAGCTAGAGAAAGACGGCCCCTTCCCCAAACTCCTGCTCAGGCCCCATACCCCTGCCCAAGCAGCTGTGATTTAAAAGCCTCATGAGTCATGGAGGGACTCAGTTTCCCCAGTTGGCTATTTTCTGCAGCCTGCCCCCACCTCCTGGCGGTGTGGCATAAAGGGAAGCTCGCCCTCGTCAACTGTGTGCCCATGTCCAGCAACATCAGACTCCAGGGCTCCCTCCCCGCAGCCTGGTTTTTCAGGAAACCCCTGGGGCCAGGGGGCTTTCAGAGCCCTCCTCGCCGGGGACCATGGCTCCTGCTTCAATACCTGGGGAGGGAGATCCCCCAGCTTCCCTAATGCTCTGGTCCCTTTCGTTCCAGCCAGGCACCAAGAGGAAAATGCAGCCTCCTTCTGGAAACAAGGGCTCCCTCCCGCAGGCTTTCCCGAGGCCGGGTTCAAAAGGCCCATGTTCACCTGAGTTTTAGGTAACTTACTGGGCAGCCTGAATTATATAGACAAGTTAGGCTTGACCTTCGGGTGTCTGGATTACCCGAGTATTTTACATGTTTATGAGCGGGGTGGGGAGGGGAACTGAACACTCGCTCAAAGCAAATGCAAAATTCGGACTTTGGGGGCTCTGTGCACCTGGCATGCATCTTTGCTTACCACCGGGATAGAACATCAGAGAGCCACTGTCACGCGACCACCGAGCAGGCCACAGGGGAGCCCCGGCTCCTCCCGGATGCTGGGCCTTGCCTTCGTTTCTCTTTTAGGATCTGCCAAAACCCGAAAGTCACCATCTAAAAACAACTCCAAAGAAAGGTGGGAGAAGAAAGTGGGAAAATCTTTATCATTGATTGTTTATACCTAAAGAAAGAGAGGAGAGAGAAATCCCCGTGGCCCAGCCAGGGGGTGAAGAGTTAATCCTATAATCTAGTCGGCCAGGGAGCAAGGCAAGGACGAGAGCTACCTTCCAGCTGAAGTGTGCGTGCAGAATGTTTGATGCTTGGCGGGTGGAGCCGAGAAGACGGAGACCATTTGCAAGCATTTATTGAGTGCCCAGGGCGTACGGAGCCCTATTCTCAGGATGCAGTGGAATTCTAAAGTTCACAAGATAGGGTGCTCCCCTATCCTCGGAGAATGGACCCTCCCCCAGCCCCCACTTTCAGGCTCTTCTGTGTGCCCACTCCCCCTGCCCTGGTCACTGCTCCCTGCTGGGCTCAGCAAAATACCGGCAAATGCCTGGTGACCTTTTCAGAGTTAGACCAATTACACTCCAGTGAAACAGCTTAAGAATTGCAAAGCAGCACGTGCAAACTCTTCTAGCTGCTTGAGTGAGAGCGAGAGCAACGCGCTGCCCCTGGCTGCATATTGGAACACCTGGAGAATTTTTTTTCACTGCCGGTGCCTGAGTCCTGCCCCCCAGAGAGTATGATTTCATTGCTATTGGAGGCAGTGGCATTTTTTAAAGCCCTCCAGGTGACTCAAACATGCAACAGAGTGTGAGAACCACTGAACTGGAGGATTTAGGACTTTTGAGTTGTTTCATGGTGAATCTTTGGGCTGAAACTGATCAAGTTTGCTACTTCGCTAATGGAATCAAGACACGGACTCTATTGGCTAGATAGGCTGCCATCTTGGAACAAAATAACGATGACAAGTTTTCATATGGATATTATCTTTTTTAAAATGGTTTTAATCTTTATCGATTTCTGAGAGAGGGAGAGAGAGTATGAGCGGGGGAGGAACAGAGAGAGAGGGAGACACAGAGTCCCAAGCGGTCTCCAGGCTCCGAACTGTCAGCACAGAGCCCGATGCGGGGCTCAAACTCATGAGCCACGAGATCATGAGCTGAGCCGGAGTCGGAGGCTTAACCAACTGAGTCACTCAGGCACCCCTCATCTGGGTATTGTCTTAATGGATTCTAATGAGAGTTGGTACAATGTGGTGGAATTTGCACAGAATAAAGTCTTCACTAAACTGTCCTTTAGCTGAAGGGGGGGGGGGCAGCAGGAGAAAGTAACTAACATTTCTTGAGTGTCTGTAGCGTGGCAGGAACTGGGCTTGAAAGACTATACTGATATTTCATGTTTTCTCTCCCACCACGTGCCAGATACGTATCATCCCCGTTTTACAGATGAAGAAACTGAGACTCGAGATCACATCGCTGTTATGTGTGGGGAGACGATTTTCCACGGGTCTCTCACATTTCTGTATATCTTGTGAGCCAAGATGCCGACTGCCTTTGCTCTGATCTTTATAAAGATGTTTGCACGGTGAACAGCTTTGGAAGATGTAATGTCCTCCTCGGGGATGAAGGGTAGGCATGCTTACTGTCCATTATAAAAGATTCAGGTCCCTAAGCTCAGGGTTCCCGTCTTGTAACACACCCTTCTCGTGTGCACAGGTATGAGCTGGCCCTCTTTGCAGTGCCTTATGGCAACTGTAGCTTAGAGAGTTGTTGCAAAAACCAGAATGCACTGGCTCCCACTAGCCCTGTGATAAACTGTCTTTTGTCTCTGACCCATGAGACAGGCCAGGCTAACTTGTCAACTTGTGGCAGATTTAGCACCTTCATCAAAACCTGTTTCCCTTTGACATCCATACACTTAGGGGATAGATAAGCAGGAGGTGATATTAAAGCAAAACGAAACCCATACTCTGGATCAATGATTGCTTTTCCTCTAGATATGAAACAATTACACAAATTAGCTCCCCTTCCTTTCTCTGGAAGACAAATAAACAAATTCAATCGGCATCAAGAGTTAAGTGCAAAACTTGGGCACGATATTGTATTCTGCTGGCTCCAAATTCCATTCGATTTTAAGCTCTGCTAAGCTATATCCTCTTTTCTCTCCAGAACATTTCACTTGATCCTACCAAAACAGCCTCCAGGCTTTGATAAGCAAACGCGGGCCCTGCTGGTACCCCAAACCCACTCATCCAGCTCTTATCAGAAGCCCCTTTTACCTACCTATTTTCCAAATTGGAGACAAGTGATCCTTCCTCTGGTGTTGACACTAATGGTCTGCGTGCCCCTACTTTCTCTCTGAGGTCTGCTTCCTCTCATTACTAATTACCTTCTCTTCTAAAGAACGAGCATTTAATATGCAGTGATGATTTCCAGTAGCTGGTTCTGTATCGTCTTCAGCTGTTAACTATTATTATTAAAATTATATATATATAAAAAACCCTAACTACTATGTATATGCCAGGAACTTTTAAAGTGCTTTATAAAGTATCTTAAATCTACTCAAAAAACACTAAACATGAAGTACTTTCACTTGGAGAAGCTGATGCGTCAAGGAGGTTAAATGCCTTGTACGCGGACCTAGTAAGTAGCAGAGTTGGAATCTGGAGCCATGTCTGTCCAGCCTCAAAGGGAATCTTTTTCTTCTACACCCAACTTCTGTTTTTGTTTTTTTCTTTTTTGAACAGCTTTATGGAGATATAATTCACACAGCATACAATTCAGCCATATACACTGGTTTTAGTATATTCTCAGGTGTGGGCAACCTTCACCGCAGTTAATTTCAGAACTCCTTCATCACCTTCAAAAGACACCCCGTGTACTTTAGTAATCCTCTAATCCTCTTCTCCTCCCCCCACCAGCCCTAACCAGCTGCCTTCTAGCAAAGCGTGTCTCTAAAGAAGCCAAGTCCTTTCTTCCATCTGTATGAAATATTGGAGTATGTTTATACGCATTTGTAAATTGGTTGCCTCTTTGGTTATTGAGAAGTTGAGAGCTGTGCCCTCCACCTCCCCAAAAAACCTGTGCCTTCTCTCTGGCATTCCCTGGGGTTGGTTATTCTTTCCTCCTTCTGCCCAGAGACCGCTAATAAGAACACTGAGAGAACCACCAGGAGCCCCAGGAGGCTTTGTTACTCCATTATTGCTGGTTCCAGGAAGTAGGTTTTGGGTCTGGGTTGACAGTAAAAGGGATGGGGACCCCCGAAAACTTCTTGCAGCCTGGGCTTGAGCCTCAGATTTCATGAGCTGAGAACAGCCCTCCTATCTCCTCTTAGGGGCAATTTATCTCCTTTGAGAACATTAGTCCTTCCAGTGAGGGCTGGCTCCTTATGGAAGTTGACCTTGCCCAAGAAAGGCTTGGCAACATTGATCTAGGGTCAGCCCGACTTTGCAAGGAGTTTGGTATGCATACGTGTTGATTTGGGTTCCCCTGAAGAATTCAAGTGCTTGGAGTTTAGTTAGGAAGTACAAACACCACTGGGGGTGGGTGGGGAGGGCGTGGGGAAAGGGGTACAAGGGAGGGGAGGTGACCGCCAATGCTGTGCTGTCAAACCAGCTACCCCATGGAAGGCTGGCTCTTACTCTCACCGGTAAACTCTAGGAGACACTGGAAAACACCCACGTCAGAGTTATCCCACCTAGGGGGACATGGTCACAGGGTGTTTAAACACCAACTCCCAGAAGTCCTTGGTTAAGGGCTGCTCGCAGAGGGCCTGAATTCCTCATCTCTTCTGGTGTGCTATGCTCATGTGGGCAATGAGCCTTCTGCAGTTCTGGAAAAAGCCCTCAGGCAAAGAAATGCAGATAATGGCGGTAGGAGGCTGAGCAGAGGACATGAAATGATTGAGTGTGAGGATATGGGTGGGCACCCACAGCATCTGCCACAGCCTGACCCTATTTTAAATACTCCTGCCCGTGCAGATACACACACACACACACACACACACACACACACACACACACACAGTGAGCAGGATGGGAATACGGTCTCAATAGAGCACACTCCTTCATCCCTGGGCTCCATTCTTGCTGACAATAATCAGGGCTCCGCTTTTCAGAGTAATGAGGGACAGTAAGGAGTTTATTAAATGAATTCTACCAGGAGCCAACTGGTAACAGACCTACATCTTTTACCTCTAAAGCTGGAGAAATCCCACCAGGCTTTGCGAAGAGTTTGGAACCCCAGATCATGGGGGGGGGGGTCACTCCAGGTCAGAAGAAGAAATAAGCTGCATCCCTTTGGGGGCTGCAGACTGAGGGGCCTCGGGTTGGCAAAGCTCATCAGAGAGTCTGGCTTTCAAACTGCAGTCGGACTGGCCCCTCGGTCCACCGCCTATCGCAGCCCTCAAGGTTCAAAGGCTGGCAGGTAGCTTGGCTGAGCAGAAACGCCCATCACCTTCCTTGGTTGATCCTTTTGAAGCTGAGTGAGACTCTTCTCCAAAAAAAGGAAAGGAATTTGGAGTTCCGGGCAGCCCAAGGCCCTGTCTACCTGCTGCTAGTTGTCAGGATATTCATTGACTCACTCAATTATTCATTTGCTCATTCTTTAGCTCATTTATTCATTATCTCCATGGATCAGGGATTGAGGGTACCATGGTATTGTGACACAGGGACGAATGTGCAAACCCTTCCCTTTCTTTCAGACACCCGAGGGTACATGTGAGCGTAGTGCAGCCTGGAATGCCCAGCACACCTCCATGGCAGACCCCTTGCTCCCGTTCTGTGCGTGGGGAGGGGAGGGGGATGCGTCCTCTGCGTCAGTAGGCTATGGGCTCCGTTACGAGAAGACACACGGTCCTGTTCACCACCATATCCTCACAAGCCAGCGTTGTCCCTGGCGCATGGGAGGCATTCAATAAATATTTGCAAATGAATGGGTGGATGTGTGCCTTTGAGCAAAAGGCAGATACTTGTACATATTTGAATGTATTTCTGTGTCTACATGTTTTGGTGTCGATGTGCATGTTTCTGTGTCTATGCGTCATTGTTTTTATGCTTATATAACTGAGTGTGCACGTGTGTATGTATGTGATTCTTTAATAGACACAGTCTTCCCTTCACAACATTTCAAGAGAATGAACGTTTTTGCTTCCTGGTATCTGACTTCGGAAACCCAATCTGCATTTTCCACACATGTACAGCACCCCAGATTTTCAAATATTTATACTCCTATATTTAAAATCTGTGAGATTTCTCTCTCTCTTTTTCACCCATACGTGCTTGCATTCTGTCTTCCTCCCTCTTTCTCTCCCTCCCAGCCATCAGCCTGCCCTCTCCACCTTATTTCCTCTGTTTTCCCCATATATATGTTGATGAAAACCCCCCAGACTGAGCCACACTATTCACTTCCAAGCTTGGCTCACTGAGGATCACACATGGGCCACCACCATAACCCCGAGACAAACCCTGAATGGTGAACCCAGCCAAGGAGGAGTACGGAGACTCCAGCTCCTGTCCAAATGTTGGTGGCTCCTGAAAAGGGTCTGCCCTCTGGGGGTGGGGGGCAGTGGCTTCTTTAAGCTTCAGCAGAGCTTCTAAAAAGGAACTAATTGCCCAGGATTTTAGCAAGAAGCACTGGGTGAATACCAACATTGCCTGGGTTTCTGGAAGCTTAGATCTGATCTTTGGGAGCTTGTGATGTCTTATGGTACTGACCTGGAGGCAGAGGAACACCTCCCCAAATTTTTCCTGTCTGAGATAGTCCATGGCCCCTCTCCATCCTGCAGTGTATAGCCAAGTCTGACCAAGAAAGATCTACTGAGTACCAATCGTTAGACCTGATTGATGAGGATCTTGAAAAGCCCTCGACAAAGTGAGGGTTTTTTGACACGGTGTGAAATTCTGATGCTTGGGGATCATTCAACATACTGTTTGGGGTGCCTCAAGATGTGGCCTCTGTTCTCATTTACTATCAGTGGATCAATGACTAAGTAAATCCATTGTTTTCAGTTCCACATCTGGATATTGTATGGATCTTGCCATGCCAGAGTCAGGTTTGCCAAAACAAAGCCACACACACATACACACGTGTGTATATATATGAATGCACGTGCGTGCGTGCATAAACACACACACACACACACACACACCACTCTGTAGAATGGAAAGGGGATGTGAGGAGGGAGCCACAATGGACAAGTTAACAGGAACAGCATATGAGGTCTTCTGTTTGTGCTCCAAATCCACCCCCTACCTTCTGCATCCTGTTCTGGTCTTGGTTGGTTGATCCCACACCCATGGGCTCCCAAGCTCTGTGGCTTCCAGCTGGGTTTAACCAAAGGAGCCCTGGCCACAGATCAAAGGGAGGGAGGAGACTGAGATCAGGTCTTCATTCCTCTGGTCGGCACCCTGCAGGGTCACCTCAGGGTGGTTGGGTCCCATCGCAAAAGGACATTGCTCCTCTTGGGACATCCTCTTTCACGAAATTTCCCTTCTGGTTTATGGACTATTCCTTCCTTAGTGCTCTCAACTTTGGGTGGAAATGTCTCCACGGCTTCCAGCCCTGAGTTACTGGCTCCCATTCACTCTGTCTTTACCTTGGAAAATAGTCCCTTTGCAAGTAAACCCCAAATTATCTAATTTAAATGTGTTTCCAGTTGGAGCTGTAATGAAGACATAACAGGGCAGAGTAGGGAAATTTGTTACCTTAGATTGAATTTGGCAAGGGACTTTGTGCCAACCTGCTTATCTTCATTATTGCCAGTGTGTGAGTGAATATAAGAACTCTGCCTCTACCATTTAAAAAAGAGTCTATTTCCTGCTCTCCCTAAAACTGCAGATTTAATAGGTTGCTGGATACACTATAAATCTAGGTTTCTCAATCCAGTAATTGTCCCAGAGAGGTGGACGGGAAATCGACAGGTGTCTCTACTCTTCATCACTTTGACACCATTTTTTATCTTGAGGA